CAAGAACCAATTAGGTTTAAAATAGATGAATTATTAATGATTTCGGTAATTATTTGCTCGGCGTGATCAAAAATATTTTGACGATATAGTGAGTTTTAATCTTTTTTTTTTTTTTTTACATAGCATTTATTTATAGCTAAAACAAAAATATAATGAAAACTAAATTAGAATATCCGTACAATATTACATAGTGTTTAGGTACTCGTTAAATTTCTGCAGTATTATATACAAATATTACAATGCAACGGGTAATATTTTTTTTTAGATTCTAAGTGAAACGAAGAATGTATGGGGGGTTTGATTATACATTTTTTTTATTATGTCTGCGTATAAGATTTTTTCAATTTTTTTCCCGGATTATCACCAAATAAATATTAAAGGATATGAAATGTTGTCTAGTAACTGTTTTGAAAGAAGTCGTATTTCGAATTTTCGAATAGTTTTGTTAAAAATTATGAAAAGTTGAAGACAATTTAAAATTACGGCACAAAATAATACGAATAATCGTTAGAAATATGACCTTTTTTTTAAATATTTATTTCACCGTTGCTATATAAATAATATGATTTATAGATTTTTTTTTTAAGTTCAATTAGACAATTGAAATGTTCTTGATTTTTTATTTCTTTTTGAAAAATAACAATAAAATAATTTTGATTCGACTAAAAGTTTTGAAAATGTAATAAAAAGTTTTTCATACATAGTATTGATAAAAGAAAAATAAATAAATACTTAAGCTTACTACCAAAAAAACAACGTTTAAATATTAAATTATGACAACATCTAATATTTTAACAATAGTTTTTTGGTTAAAACCTATTCAAAGTTACAAAATTATTAAAGAAATGTCTGCTATATATGTGCACATAAAGGGACTTGAATTTTTGTAATTTCACATATTATAAATGATTTTTTTATTGTTATGAAAGCTAAAACATTAATCTACCTAATTAAGAAATTTAATTCTTTCACCTTATAAACCATTTTCAGAAATATAAGCTGATCCATCCGTCATCCCTCACTCAGATTCGTTTATTCGAGATCAATGGTTACAATAATGTTACGAGTTCAAAAGCCCGATGAAGCAATACCGTTCGCCTGTCCTTGCGTTTCACCCGACCCGACCTAAGGATGTGGCGCTTTCTATTTCCAAGTCCTCCGTCGCGATCAGTTCGTCGCATGGAACGCATAGTAGTAACACGGTTCGTGTTAGTTGAACGATTATATACGAGTATACGACAACGATAGTCGTCCGCGGTCGCCTAGGCTCAGGGGCAAACGTGGGGGTAATTTAACCCCCCTCCACCGAAATATTAGGAACAAAAAATAAATTATCCGACCAACAAATGTAATCTAATAAATAAATTTAAAAAATGATTAGTTATTTAAAAGTTTCCCGTAGTTTGTAAATTGACGTACACAATACAATTATATAATATTTATGGATATTTTAAGTTTTTTCAAAAACTCCCTCCCGAAATTCTTTCCTACGTTTGCCCCCAAGCGTAAGCTCTTTACATATCTGAATAATGCATGTGTACGAGCGCATAAACATAATGGCGTTTGTCGCATCGGATTTTACGTGGCGGTCAGCCAGAGGATTTCGTTGTTCGTATTGCGGTCGGCCAGAAGGATATTACGTGGCGGTGGCGAAAAAAAAAGGAGGCATGTTAAAGCAGCGACCAGTGGGACCGCACGTAACGCGTATCATGTACTCGTTGGAAATCCGTACGCGATCCTTGGACGAACGGGGCGGGTAAACGGTGTTGAAAAGAAGCACGCGATAGCAGTCACCACCGTCGCTGTTCGCACGTAACGATAGCCGTTAAATCGGATTGCTTTCCGGAAAGTGTTAAAATAAAATAACAAATAAATAAAAAAAAAGGCCAACGACCCGTGACGTTATTCGGCCGCCGGAAACGGATTCGTTTGACCGATACCGCACCGCGGTGGTGACGACAACGAGCGTGCAAACGAGTACACGCAACAGGACGTGTTCCGGTCACGCGACAATTATTACTAATTGAGTGCACGTGTGGGCACGAGAGTGATGTGTGCAATCGCGTGCGTTCGTATCTCGATAAATTTCAAAAGTGAAACGGATAAGGAACGCCACCCCAACCCGTAATGTGTGCGAATCCCATACCTACACGTTTGGCAGAAAGTGTCCGTTTGTGACCGGTTGTATCCGATTGTTCGATGAACAGTTTTAGATTTTCATGAACAGTACAAAGATCATAAACGATACATCGCCTTCGATAGTGTAAACGATTTACGAAAATCTACGGTCACAATTTTTTTTTAATCCTTCGAATTTCAAATCGTTATTAAAACTTTACGAAAACCGTAAAAATCTACGACATATATGGGATTGAAAATTCATAAAGAGCTTTTAAGTTTAGTGTTTAAGGCCTGAAAATGTACTAAAAAAATGTAATTTTTCAATTATCAACTATAAAATAGTTGTAGAAATCATTGATTTTGTGGTTAATAAATGTTATTACATTGTCCGTTAGAAGACGGGAAATGCGGCCTACCGACTTGGTGTTAGTATTTTCCGTAACGGTGTCATACAAATATCGGATACACATAGTTGCGGATTCCAATCGGATTTACATGGTCGTACGGTGCAAGTTACTGCAGTATACAACCACAAAGCTGACCGTTACAGACCGTCTTGAAAATAATAACGGTTATGATCTCGAATGAACTATGATCAAAGATGTTGTGTTATCACCGGTCCAAGTGGGAACAAAAGTTTTCTGATGATCGAAACCGTATTTAAAATAGCATAATAATTTAAACGTTACGACAACACGGTTCTCTCAATCGGACGATGGTTTATGCATATTGCATTTGTACTTGTACATAAACAGTTTGTATTATTTATATGTTATACGTGCGTCGACTATGCGATACCTGAAGCAGCCACCAAATGCACCTGACTTGTTCTTTATCCCCGCCGCATAGATGTGTACTACTTAAGTCGTTCGTATATGTAAATATATATTATTTGATTATTCTAATGAGTACGTTAGCACGGTCGTCACCACGATTTGCACAAAGTGCGCTTTATATAACGTATAATGTCCTGGCTGGGTGTTCCCTGAGTAACATCGTAGGCCGTAATAATTGTTCCAGGACCATTTTGATGATTCTTAGCGTTTTGGTTAGGTGACAGAATCCTCGATAGATAACCTACGTTGATGACCCATCGATCGGAAATATTGAAAGTCAAATGGCGGTGACTATATTTTTTTATTTCAAAAAAAAAAATGCAATGTATTTATACATTTTTGTTTTGAATTGCATATGAAATTGAACTGTTCCGCTATAATGCATGGCCGTGTTGGGTTGAATCTAAAAGTATACATAATAGATTGCGGTATGAAGATAATATGAAACTTATAAAGAATTGCTATGCTGTATCGAGAAAAAAAGAAAAGTTTGTTATTGTTTTTAAATTAAAGAACGAAATGGTTTTGCAGAAAAGAAAATTAAGTAAACATTTTGAGTAATTGTACGGAGAAAATACGTAATGTTTGTCATCAACTTTTTTTTTTTTTTATATTCCATCTTTATTTAAAACCATTTTCGGAAATTCTTTTGATAATAATATTACGATCTTATTATAATTTATGTTTATGCAACAATTGCTTTAATAACTATTTTCCAAAATGAATATATATATATATATCTGCAGAAAATAGTAATTTGAATAATAAAGCATGATTTATAAAAATGAACAGTTATTTGTTTTATCGGATTCTGTAAATATAAAACTGTGTTCACGTAATAATCATTTCCAAAATTATTTTTTTTTTTATAATCCTACTAAACAATTGCCTAGAATTAAATACACATGTGGAATGATTCGACTAAAATATAGGTCTACGATTTCAGGTCGGGTCTGTTCAAATAACGCATCTCGTAATCGAGTAATGGAGTTGCGTTTAAGTAGTAAATCTTGGTGGGTCATCCTGTATATGACTACAACACAAGGATGCAGTGTGGTCAACTTGGCAGTTTTCACGATTTATCGGTGAAATAATGGAACTTTGGTAATTTTATGAAAAAAAAAATAAATGTTTAAAACCAATATTCACGTAGGTACAAAGCACGTATCGAATGATATGCAAAACAACATTACCGGAACAATCTACGTTCCACATTCGTCCAGTAATTTGAAAAATAAAACACGTGCACAATATCGCAATACCAATATAGGTTATTGCTTTTCCTTTCGCGGTTCGTGACACGGAAAAGTGCTGATTTTTTTTTCGTCTCATTAGTATTGAAAGAAATTCGGTTACATAAATTCGGGCGCTTACTGTACGGACGCGTACATGCACGCAATTTTCGAATATCTGTAAAGATTTGAGATAGCTTTTTCAGCGATCATTGTTAGACTGAATACTATTATAATATTATGTAGTTTTCTATCGTGAAAACAGTATAATATTATTATAGCGCCACTATTAAACACCGCTTATGAGTGAGTTTCTGAACTTAACACGTTAAGTACTGAGAACTCGATACGAACGCCTGCGGTGAACGGAAGTTTCTCCAGAAGTGTGTTTGGCACATAAACGTTAACTTTGAAATAACAATTTCAAATTTAAAGAAAAAAAATAAGAAGAGTTGATATCGGTCAGGTTAGGTATGGGTAAGTATGGGGTAATACATAGGCTCTTTAAGAATAATGCAATTGTTTTTATTTATTTACGGATTTAAGATTTAGATTTTATAGCAAGCGCAAAGCATATCTCACACGTAGAATTGACGTGTTGACTTGCGATTGAATAGGTGATAAATATACGCAGATTTGAAAAAAAAAAATGATAATAATGACAGTCGATTGTATTTTAAGTCAAAACCACCCGTGAACGTCCAGGAAATAATTTTATCGTTCACGCGATCGGATCATTTCAGTTGCACAATTACGGTCTACATCGTAACAACGACGATAGTAATATAATTATTACACCGCTGTACGTTACCTCCGCTAGCGATACAGGTGATGTCGACCGTCACGCCTTCCTTGTACGGCCCCAGTATGTAATGCGGTATGTGGTCACCTTTTTCGTTCAGCACACTAAGTCGGTCCGGAGGCACTGGAAACATAAAAAAAAAAAAAATAGAATATTCTGTTAGCGTTTCAATTGTTACATTAACCCTGTCAGCGGCGTCCAACCCTATTGCTAGGTGTAGCAGCCGCTACACATGGGAAATAAAGAGTACGTGGGTACCAAATTTAATACAATAAACTCGAGACATATCGATCGTCAAAAATATTAATATTAATAACGATACTGTTGCAATATTTCTATATTATTGTTTGTTAATACGTATATTAATAAACACTAAAAATATTCTCTACATTTTGAGGTTTTAGGGAAGTAGATGGGTACGATCAGTGGCACCGAAAACGTATGGCAAGTGGGCTAAATAACCAAGAAATTGTTTAGGTGGTGGGTAAGTGGTTCTACTCAATGAGTGCTAGATTTATTATTGTATGATAAAATATTCCATAATATTATGTAATTACTAGATGTGCAGTAAGTACTCGTAGCTCACAGGTATGTAATACTTGATATTTATGATTTTTTTGGTGAGTAGGTGGGTACCCATAAGTAGGGTTTACCCCAGTGATATGAAAAAGGTTCGACGCCACTGGGTACGATAATACCTTGCTATACCTGAAAATACATCTGAGTCGGTACTGAACCCTGTTATAGTAATGTTATATCACGACATAACCGCTTCGTGCGACATCGTACATGTCGCAAGTCGTCAGGCATACACACAATGTTAGGACAGTAACAGCGACGAAAACAAAATAATACTTGATAATCAGTGGCGTATTGATGGGAGGGGGTGTTATCATAATTTTTTTTTTTATAAATCCGTATAAAATGTTCAAATAAAATTGTTGTCTGTTTTATTAACTTCTCGTTGAAAATATAAAATTATATATATATATGAATTATTAATTTCATTTTTGGATAAAAGATCGAAGAAACATAGAATAAAATATGGATACATATAATTTAATAACGAGAATAACATGAGAATATCACGAGTAAAATTTGACTATTAAAAATATTTAATCATTATTACATCTTCAAGAAAAACGATAGATAGAATGAGTAGTAGATATAGTAATAATGATTAATTTTCATCCAACTATCTGCACTATTAGTAAACAACAATTTTCTGCCAACTTCAAGCTACAGCAATAGACATTAGCCTTTGAAGTATAATGTGTTTCGACTTGCACAGTTGAAAACACCAATATTTTTTGTAATTGGATTTTATTAGTTTTTATAAAATTAATAAAATTTATAAATTTTAAAATTTTTGCTTTATTTGATTCACAAAATTAACACACTTCAAATCGATCAAAATTTAAAAATTTGAGGTCTGGAAATTCTCTAGAGGAAGGGTGAATAACCCTCCCCATAAGTACGCCAATGTTGATAGTTATTAATGTATAAATAAATCAATCTATAATCTATATGTATGAAGATCTGGATTAGCGGCATCCATTATGCGGCACTTTAACAAATTTTGTGCGGTTTCATTTAAAACTAAATTTACATTCTAAAATTTAAAATTAAAAAGAGTAAATATTATACAATTTATATTTTTCGGTTTTGGTGTAATGTTATATGAAATAAATCGTATGTATCTTATTTTATCTTTCTTGTTTATTTCTTCGTTTTAACTTCTGTAAATGTAAATGTACTAGTCTAATAAATTTAATATTTTTTCTGAAATATGAACAATTTGTAACAATTAAGTTATAATTAATAAATACATGTATATAGAATTTTATAATTTTTTGTATTTTTAATCATAACCATTGAAAAATGTATGTGGCTCACAAGTAGTATGCAAATTTATCGTTTGGCCCTTTTTAAAATCTTAGTGGGGCCCGCTGCACTAGACTGCCCCGTTATCTTCGTCCTACTTACCCACCCTTCGTCCACCGCCGTAATTATCATTCATATCGCACGCGTGTCCGACATCCCCGGTAGAGCATAAATTATTTGGATTAATGCGGTGTTTATTAGTTGTAAAAAATTACGTTTATTCCTTTCCGCGTACATTTATGTTCTCCCTGCCGTCATATTCGTCATTCGTTTCATCGTTTTCTCTGCTCTAATAATTGTTATCATGACCGTATCGCTTTCGCGTTGTCGACTGTTTAGGAACCACCCGTTCTCGAGCGTACCAGACATTAAACATTTTACGTTGGATTACGTTTCCTGTGACCTTCGCGGCACGGTATTCCCAGGGAATATCTCGTAATGGACAGCACGTAAGTTTTCTTATATTTTTCCTTTTCGTCTTCTTCATTATCGAAACGATATCGTAGTACGACGGACCTCTCGTACGTGGGCCGTGTAGTCAACGTATCATATGTATACACAACACTAACAGTCACTACACATGGTCGACCGATAACAGTAGTTTTCGAAGTTTCGCACGAGAATAAATCGAACGGTAAAAAAAAAAAGTAAAACCCGCGTCACCATAAATGTTTTATTGTCCGGCTGTTTTTCATATTCCGAACGCGTTCGAGTATGTGCATATCTATATGTGGGTGTATATATATATATAGACACTGGTTTACAATCTTAGGCGTACTGGGAAAATGTTTTTTTGATTCGACTTGCAAACAACTGACGTTATAAATATTGTATACAAATGGCGGTGGCAGCGGCGGCGGCGGCCGACGAATGAGCACCGATTGCCGCGTGTAGAAGAAGAGAGAGAGGAGAAAGGGTGAGAGAGACTGCTCGTTTCAGTCGCCGATGTTTTTCATACATTGTTTTTCGCCATGAGAAAACCGTGCGTAGTTATTCGGAAAAGTCGAAAATAAAGGACAAGGATAAGATACGGAATGAAATCGGAAGGAATTCGACGTAGCTCGGATTTCACGCCGTCGGTGCGTGAACGTGGTACGGGGAGGAGAGAGGGGGTTATTGGATACACCTCCTCTCGAGTACGTTTATTTTTTATAATATAATCTATACCATGTTGTTTCTTCGTATGCGAAATATACGAGGAACATATATATAAAAATATGTAAATAATGCATTTTTTCTCCATCTGTTTGTCCTACACATCTGAAAGAATAAAGCGGTTTTCCGTTAAAAAATTACGTTTCCAAGGATGTCATACGTGAATCGGGTCATGATATCTTCGTCGTACCCCAGAATAGATCCAACCATATTTGACCCCGTATAACGCAGTCGAATGTGTACTGCAGACGTCGTCCGGTAGCGGGTCACCACGCGTTTACGGTGGATGTGTTTTACTCTACGGTTTTCACGTTCTCGGTGCGGTCGAAAGGCAAAAATAAAGACGCGAACGAAAAACTGTCCGGTTAGCAAACGATAGAGGTGAAAAGGACAACGATCACGAGAACGAGCGGGGAAAGAACGAAGAATCGACATCGTTCGACCGATTACAATAAATACGAATCGTGTTTGCGTTAAAACAACACGTGGCCGTCCGAAAACGGGCGCAAACCATCGCTTCTATTTTCCACCAGAAAGGTAATACCTATATGTGTGTGGAGGTATACTTTGTTTATGTTTGTGCGTGTACGTTTCCTTGTATCCTTTTGTGGGACCGTTCTTGTCGGAAACACTATTTGCTTCACGTCTATGAATTTATGGTCCAGAAGCGACGGTGCTAAAGGTATCGAAAGGGAAGGGGATAGAAGGAAAATAAAAAAAAAAACAATTATCTCTACCGATCGAGATAAACGGGAAATCTACGGGCTTAACCCGAGACGAATTTACACACATATAGCGATCGGGTAATGTTATTTTGTTTTAAAGCTTTTTTCTGCGGGTTCGTAAAATACCTATGTGGCTAACATATGCAATGAGATGATTGAAGAATGAAAAAGAGCGAAGGAACGAAAGTGAGGGAAACGTAACAAAACAGTGTGCATTAATAGTACGTATTGGTGAACGACCACGGAAGTGCGCGAGATCATAGTAATGTCCAGGTAACAGGACTAAACACACGGACTGTGGTTGAAAATCTTCAAATCGCATACCAAACTGAAGACGAAATGGTTTTTTTTTTTTTCACTTTTTACCCACAACATTACCCTCATAAAAAAAAAAAAAAATAAAAAAAATAACGGTGATTCGTGTCTAAATCGGAAAGACGGGGAGAGAAGAAAATTTCAAATACGAAAGTCTTTGTACCCTAAAATACATAAAAAAAGATACTAGTATAATTTTTTGTATATTACCAAAGAAATATACTTGATTTTGAACTATAATATTTCTGTTGTCTGTGTATTATGACTAGAAACAGTAGTCATTAATAAATTTGTAATTTATGCAAGGATTTTAATTCGTTTTTTTTTATTGTTTTCTTTTTTTCGTTTTCACTTTAAGCATATTCGATAAAATAATTTTTAATGTTCCTAAGTTCACATAATACTGTAATGAAATAAATAAAGTTAGTGTGCGTGTTATGTATTATTATTTCTGATTTTTATCCTCTCATTATTATTATATAATATTTGCGTGATAACTTTGCGCAAACATCGGACTAGATGAGACTTTGGGAGAGATTTGTTCAGCGGTATAATGACCGTATATTTGCACTCGCTTAAATTAATGAACAAAGTTAAAATAATAAAACCTGTATATAATACGGACGCATGATGAAATATGTCCACGACGATGAGATTTCGAAATGAATGAGAAAAAAATATAAATGCCGTCGACGGGTGATCATAAACCAGCACATGAAACAATAATAAGTGTTTGACGCAAACGAGCATGCAGATTTTTTTCGCACATATACGCGTACATGATGTTATAATTATAATTTAACGTATACAAACTTGGTTTTACGAGCGAAACGTCATTTAAAGAAACGAGGTCGTTGCAGAATGCATCGTTCCCGTACTATTGAAACTGCGTACTGCCATTATAATAACACGCAGACACATTATTTCGCGTGCCGCGTTTGTTAAACGATTAATTCAAAAATTAAAATACAATACGCATTTTACAATACGATACGTAAATGATGTAGACGCGATGAAAGTTTACTGGTCGTTCTATGTGAACAT